ACAATAAACTGATGACAGAAACCCTACACAAAAAATATGAAATTTCAAAATAAATATTTACCCATAAAATCGGGAATGCAACATTGAGGATTTAAAAAGTGTTTGTCTAGATAACTACAATTCTCAACTGTGTGCACTCATGGAAAGCAGGTATTTTAAATTATTGGTATGGAGTGTATGGCAGTAAAACTTCATAGAAACCGTACTATAGCATAAACAAAAGTTTCTAACAAAATATTTATTAGAGCATTTAAAAGCATGAGAGGTGACTTTTAATATGTTTTTAATATGTTGATGCTATACTAACACAAAATAATAGTGCTGTAATTTAACCTTTAGAAGCATAGAACAGTGTTACATTTCTAAATAAAAATAACTACATATGTTTTGTAAAATATAGTGAGAGTCACTGATATATAAAATAAATACCTGCAAATAAATCATATTAAGATTTAGATGTAGATTCAAGAAATTGGGCAGAAATCCTATGATTCCTTTTTGCCTGCAGTCAAAAGTTTACAAGTGACTATTTTGGTATATATGAGGTGCCTAGTGATTATCTTATTCACTTCAGGTGTAACATGTAAATTCTGGCATATTGTTCTGAATGTCTGAATACAAAATAACAAATCTGAAATAGAAAATAATACAGGGAAAGTGACCTCAGTACAGTGTTGAAACAGACAGTGCCCATCTTGTATATGATCCCACGGCACAAAAAATATGTTGGTTATCCCTGACAAAAGTGTCTTTATGAGAAAGTGATCATGGCTCACACCTGTAATCACAACTAAATGATACGTTGACACGGAAGGATTGCTTCAGGCCAGGAGTTCCAGACCAGCCTGGAGAGATAGCAAGACCCCATGTCAAAAAAGTGCCTTTAAGAAACTTTTGGGATCCAGGGGTAATGTTGTGAAACGCTCCTAAAGTTCAAGATTGAGAAGCATCCTTTTCGGAAGGCAGGCCCTCTCATTCAGGTGGCAAACAAGAGGACTCTTGGTCTTGGCTACAGACCAAGAAATGGTCCACACAACTTGATCCCATTGAGAATACTTAACAGACTCTGTAACCATCTGAAACTCAGGCACAGTCCAGGAGTGGTCTTGTCTGTACAGAGACCTTGGAGGAGACCCCTTTTTATAGCCATGGAGGCAGGCCTGCAGACCCTGGACTTTACTGTGGTCCCTGAAACAGTTTGGTGACTCAGTTCTAGCTTCCTTTGTCACAGTACATGGCCAGTCCTGCCCATTTAGCAACCCACACAGTGACCTGGGAAAACTGTCCCAGGTCCTCAGTGGGAGCCACACACTCATCCACACTCTGATAATAAGGTCCACCACATGCAGACCCCACTGCAGACATCTGCCCTTGTGTCTCCACTGCAGATCCAAGTCTGAAGGAAATCCAGTCTGCCCAGGAATAAGACAGGGATCACAATCACCCAAGGCCTTGGTAACAAGGCAACTGAAGGCAGACCCAGCAGCCTTGAGACCCAGCTACAACCCCTATTCACTACAAACCCTGAGGGCATCCCATTCCCTGGGGGAACCAACAAGAGAAGGTCTTTACCTCCTGAAATCAGTTTCTAAAACGTGAAAAGGTCATTGTTTCTTCAGATTTACAGACACCAATGAAAGGCTCTATCATGCCCACTGTCAATTTTAACATAGCACTGCAAGTATGTGACAGAATTTCTCAAGTAAAATTTTTTTAAAAGGCATTCAAGTTGCAGACAAGAAAAGATGTTGCTGTTTGTAGATGACATGATCTTATATACAGAAAACTATAAATAGTACACCAAAATCTAAGCTAATAAATGTACTCCATAAACTAGGAAAATATAAGATACAATTATCAGTTATGGTTTCATACACTAATATCCAACTACCTGATTAAAAAAGAAGAAGAAAACGATCTCATTTACAATAGCATTAAAATAATAAATTTCTCAGGAACGAATTTAAACAAGGAGGTAAAAGATCTTTATACTGAAAGATAGGAGGTATTGAGGTATTGATGAAAGAAACTGAAAAAGACACAAGTAAATGTAAAAATATCCCACATTTATAGACTGGAACAATAAATATTGTTAAAGTACCATATTATCCAACATCATCTATAGATTCAATGAAGTCCCTATCACAATTCCAGTGGCATTTTTTCGCCATAATCCTATGATGTATATAAAAGTACAATAGACTTTGAATGGCTAGAGTAATCTTGAGGGAAAAAGACAAAGCAAAAGGACATCATATTTTATTATTTCAAACTATATTTGAAGACTACACTAAGAAAAAAGGAATGGTAAGCACAGAAAAATGGACACAAAAACTAACAGGATAGTATGGAGAGCCCAAAAATAAACCCATGCATATAAGGTCAACCCTGAACAAGTGCACCAAAAATACACAGTGCAAAATGTATAGTCTCTTCAATACTGGGATCTGGGAAAACTGGATACCCACAAGCAAAATACTGAAATTAGATTCTTTTTCTTACACCATATGAAAATTATCTTGGATTAAAGACTGAAATATAAAGCATGAATCCTTAAAAATCCTAAAACATAGGAAGAAATTCCCTTGATCATCTTGGCAATATTTTCTTTTTTTTTGCCTCGACACCAAAAGTACAGCAAGGAAAGGAAATATGAACAAGCAAAACTGTATCAAACTAAAAGGCTTTTGCACAGAAAATAGAAAAATAAAATAAGAAATTTATGATATGGGAGAAAATACTTATAAACTATATACATGATAAGAGACTAATATACAAAAAATAAGGAACTAAGCAAATCCAAGGCTAAAATAATAATAATAATAATAATAACACAAGTGAAAAATAGGAAAAAGACTGAATTGATATTTTTAAATGAAGACATACAAATGGCCAACAAATATATAAAAATGTAGAAAACATCACCAATCATCAGGCAACTGAAAATCAAAATCATAATGAGGTATCACCTCACATCTGTTAGAATGGAATGGAGTTGTCTAGATATATCCATCTATATATGAGCATATATACATACACATATACACACACACATATATACACACATATATGTGTAAAGAAATATAGCAATTACTGATAAGAATGTGAAGAAAAAATATTCTGTATACTCTTGGAGAGTTTTTAATTGGTGGAGTCATTATAAAAACCAATGTCAATGTTATCTTAAAAATAGAGCTGCCAGACAATCTAGCAATCCCACTTTTGTGTATATAATCAAGGGGGAAAAGAAGCAAGCATTTAGAGGAAACATTTGCACTCCCAAGTTCATTGCATTATTCACAATTGCAAAGATATGAAAATCCCTACATGTTTATGAATGCTTGCTGGATAAAGAAAATACGGCCTAAATAGATCATAGAAATTTTTTTGAGATGGAGTCTTGCTCTCGTCACCCAGGCTGGAGTACAATGGCATGATCTCAATTGACTGCAACCTCCACCTCCTGGATTCAAGCGATTCTCCTGACTCAGCCATCCAAGTAGCTGGGATTACAGGCACCCCCACCACGCCCAGCTAAATTTTGTATTTTTAGTAGAGACAGGGTTTCGTCATGTTGGCCAGGCTGGTCTCGAACTCCTAACCTCGCGACTCACCCACCTTGGCCTCCCAAAGTGCTGGCATTACAGGCGTGAGCCACTGCACCCCGCCAACAATAGAATATTATTCAGCCATAAAACATAATGAAATCTTGCCATTTCAACAACATGGATGAACCTAAAGGACATTATGCTAAGTAAAATAAGATAGACACATAAGGAGAAACAGTTTTTTTCACTTATATGAGGGATCTGAAAAGGCTGAACTTATAAAATCAGAGTACAATGGTAGCTGCCAGGGACTGGAGGTGAAGAAAATGAACAAATGTTCAAAGGATACAAACTTTGAGTCATAAGATGAGTAAGTTTTCAGGATCTAATATATAGCTTCATAACTATTCTTAACAATGTTTTGTATGCTTAAAATTTGCTAAGGCAATAAACAGGTGTTTCCATTACCCAACAAAAGGTACTAAGAGTAGATATGTCCATTAATGTGATTGTACTAATTATTTCACAGTGTATACACATAGCAAGTCATGACATTGTACACAATAAATATATAGTTATACAATTGTAATTTGTAAAAAAAATCCACAATACATATTCAGATACACATATACACAGACACGGGAATGACACAGTGCTGGTAAACTTTATATTAAAGATAAAATTACAAAATAATGGTTATTAAAAATAAGGTCACACATGGGACTCTAATATGTGCTCAGCAATGTTCTACGCTCCCTAATGGCATAACATATTTCAGAAATGTAGAAAGTAGATAAATTAAACTATCTTACAGTTGAGGAATTAGGGCATACAGAGTTTAAATGACCACATTTGGTTCATACTAAACAAATGTAAAGTAAAACAACAGATTTTTAAATATTTTCACAGATGCTTAGTACTCTGATGAAAGTACTAAGTATGAATTTCCATAGAAACACATTTGAAACCTCCACAGGTTAAGAAAATATTAAAGCAGAAAACTCATAATATCTGTCCTTGGTGTTCCTGAAATCTCTAAACCAAATGCAAATATTACTACTATCCTCACATATTTCAGCCATGATTCAAAAGGGAAATGTAAGATGGCTTATCATAGTTCCTCAACAAATATATTTGTGTGCCTCTAAAGGCAATGAAAAAGCAATCAGATCATGCAGTCCCTTTCATGATATGTAAGGACATATCATGAAAATGACTTTGCCTTTCAAGGTAAACTTGAAGGACGATCACTAAAGGAAAGTAGAATCCATAAAGAACTTAAAAGCATGAGACAGAAGGTGCCCCTTCATGAGAATAAGAGAAAGAAACCCAGGCTTCTCACAAACTTTTTCCATTGAAGCACAGGCCTCCCAAATCACATTTTAAGGTCTGGCTTCCTCATTGACATTGGAACTCTTGTCTGTGTCATCTGCTTCATTCATTCTCACCTACCTGGGTGTTCTGCTACTGTCTCAGGTCTCTTCACGTTCCAAGGCTCTTTCCTTTCCTCCAGACAGGTGATCAGCTCTGGCTTAGAGACAGCAATACCTGTTTTATTTTAAAAAGTAACATAGCATAAGGACTTCTGCCAAGATGGCTGAATAGGAACAGCTCTAGAGCACAGTTCCCAACAAGAGCATCTCCGCGCTTCCAAACAAGGTATCAGGTTCATCTCAATGGGTCTGGCTGGACAGTGGTTGTAGCCCATGGAGGGTAAACTGAGGCAGGGTGGGATGCTGCCTCACCCGGGAAGTGCAACTGGCTGGAGGACTCCCCTCCTACCGAATGGAGGCCACTGGGGATGTCTCCCAGCCAGCACTCTAGTTCAGATGCTATACTTCTCCCGAGTTCTCTACAACTCACAAACCAGGAGATCCTCACTAGGCTGACAAGCACCGAGAGTCACCAGCACAGATATGAGCAGCTGCTCTGGCAGGCACCACAGGCTGTCAGTGAAAACCTGGGCAGAGATTTTTGCTGGTGCATGGAGCACCTGCGAGACAAAGCTTCCTGCTCCCCAGAAAGAGGGGGAGCTGAAAGCAGGGAGCCAAGTGATATGGCTTGGCAGGTCCCACCCCCACAAAGACCAGCAATCTGAAACCCTCTGGTTTGAGAGTTTTGCAACCAGCATATCAGTTTGAGCTCCACCAAGGACAATTGAGCTCAGTGAGGAGAAGGGCATCCACACCATCGAGCTCAGTGGGGAGAAGGGCGTCCACCATTACCGAGGTGGATCTAATCTTACCTGTGTAAGCAAAAGCCAGAGGAAGCTAGACTGAGCCCATGGCAGCCCAGAAGTGCCTCTGAAGGCAGACTGTGATTAGACTCCCTTCTTGCTGGGCAAGGCATCTCCAAAACAAAAATAAATAGCTTCAACATCAACAGAAAGGACGTCCACTCAGGGGTCCCATCCAAAATCAGCAACTTCAAAGATCAAGGGTCGATAAATCCATGAAGATGGGAAGAAACCAGCACAAAAAGGATAAAATCACCAAAGACAAGAAGGCCTCCCCTCCTCCAAGGGATCACAACCCCTCACCAGCAAGGGAACAAAACAGGATGGAGACTGAGATTGAAGGTGGGTAATAACAAACTTCTCTGAGCTAAAGGAACATGTTCTAACCCAATGCAAAGAAATTACAACCTTAAAAAGATGTTCAGATGAAATGCTAACTAGAATAATCAGCTTAGAGAAGAACATAAATGACTGGATGAAGCTGAAAAACACAGCATGAGAACTTCATGAGACATAAAGAAGTTTCAATAGATGAGTTGATGAAGCAGAAGAAAAGATATCAGAGACTGAAGATCAAATCAATGAAATAAAATGAAAAGGCAAGAAAAGAGAAAAAAGAATACAAAGAAATGAATGTAAACTCCAAGAAATATGGGATTATGTGAAAAGATATAATCTACATTTGATCAGCATACCTGAATGTGATGAGAAGAATGAATCCAAGATGGAAAACACTCTTCAGGATATTATCCAGGAGAACTTCCCCAACCTAGCAAGACAGTCCTATATGCAAATCCAGGAAATACAGAGAACACCACAAAGATATTCCTCAAGAAGAGCAACCCCAAGACACATAATCCTCAGATTCACCAGGGTTGAAATGAAGGAAAAAATGTAAAGGGAAGCCAGAGAGAAAGGTCAGGTTACCCATTTAAAAAAGCCCATGAGACTCACAGAAAATCTCTCAGCAGAAACCCTATAAGCCAGAAGAGAGTGGGGGCCAATATTCAACTTCCTTAAAGAAAAGAACTTTCAACCCAGAATTTTATATCCAGCCAAACTAAGTTTCATAAGTGAAAAAGAAATAAAATCCTTTACAGACAAGAAACTGCTGAGAGATTTTGGCACCACCAGATCTACCTGACAAGAGCTCCTGATGGAAGTACTAAATATGGAAAGGAACAACCAGTACCAGCCACTGCAAAAATGTACCAAATGGTAAAGACTAACAACACAATGATGAAACTGCATCAACTAACAGGCCAAACAACCAGCTAGTATCAAAATGGCAGGATCAAGTTCACACATAACAATATTAACCTTAAATGTAAATGGGCTAAATGCCCCAATTAAAAGACACAGACAGGAATATTGGATAAAAAGCCAAGACCCATCAGTGTGCTGTATTCAGGAGACCCATCTCTCGTGCAAAGACACACACAGAGATTCAAAATAAAGGGATGGCAGAAAATTTACCAAGCAAATGGAGTGCAAAAAAAAGCAGGGGTTGCAATTCTAGTCCCTGAAAAAAACGGACCTTAAACCAACGAAGATCAAAAGACACAAAAAAGAACATTACATAATGGTAAAAAGATCAATGCCACAAGAAGAGCCAACTATCCTAAATATATATGCACCCAGTACAGGAGCACCCAGGTACATGAAGCAAGTTCCCACTGACCTACAAAGAGACTTAGACTCCCACACAATACTATTAACACTCCACTGTCAATATGAGACAGATCAACAAGACAGAAAATTAACAAGGACATCTACGACTTGAATGCAGATCAATAGTGAACCTAATTGACATTTACAGAACTCTCCACCCCAAATCCACAGCACATACATTCTTCTCAGCACCACACTGCACTTACTCTGAAATTGGCCACATAATTGGATATAAATCACTCCTCAGCAGATGCAAAAGAATGGAAATCATAACAAACAGTCTCTCAGACCACAGTAAAACCAAATTAGAACTCAGGATTAAGAAAGTCACTCAAAACCACACAGCAACATGGAAACTGAACAACCTGCTCCTGAAGGACTACTGGATAAACGATGAAATAAAGGCAGAAATAAAGATATTCTTCAAAACAAAGGAGAGCGAAGACACAACATACCAGAATCTCTGGGATACATTTAAAGCAGCGTCTAGAAGGAAAATTATAGCACTAAATACCCACATGAGAAGTGAGGAAAGATCTAAAATCAACACCCTATTCTCAAAATTGAAGAGCTAGAGGAGCAAGATCAGAAAAAGTCAAAAGCTAGCAGAATACAAGAAATAAGTAAGATCAGAGCAGAACTGAAGGAGATAGGGGCACAAAAAACCCTTCAATACATCAATAAATCCAGGAGCTGGCTTCTTGAAAGGATCAACAAAATAGACAGACTGCTAGTCAGACTAATAAAACAGAAAAGAGAGAAGAATTGAACATAAGCAATGAAAAATGATAAAGGAGATATCACCATTGATTTCACAGAAATACAAACTACCATCAGAGATTACTACAAACAACTCTATCCACATAAACCAGTAAATCTAGAAGAAATGGAGAAATTCCTGGACACTTACACCCTCCCAAGACTAAACCAGGAAGAAGGTGAAATTCTGACTAGACCAATAATAAGGTCTGAAGTCGAGGCAGCAATTAATAGCCTACCACCAAAAAAAGTCCAGGACCTGACAGGTTCACAGCTGAATTCTACCAGACATACAGAGAGGTGCTGCTACCATTCCTCCTGAAACTATTCCAAACAATGCAAAAAGAGGGAATCCTCCCTAACTCATTTAGGAGACCAATATCATCCTGATACCAAAACCTGGCGGAGACACAACTAAAAGAGAAAACTTCAGGCCAATATTCATGATAAACATCGATGCAAAAATCTTCAATAAAATACTGGCAAACTGAATGCAATGGCACATCAAAAAGCTTATCCATCATGATCAAGTAGGCTTCATCCCAGGGGTGCAGGGCTGGTTCAACATACCCAAGTCTATAAATGTAATCCACCACATAAACAGAACAAAAGACAAAGACCACATGATTATCTCAATAGATGTAGAGAAGGCCTTCGATAAAATTCAACAGCTCTTTATGCTAAAAACTCTCAATAAATTAGGTATCCGTGGAACATATCTCAAAATAATAAAAGCTATTTACAACAAACCCACAGCCAATATCATACTGAATGTGCAAAAACTGGAAGAATTCCCTTTGAAAACTGGCACTAGAAAAGGGTGCCCTCTCTCTCATCATTCCTAATCAACATAGTTTTGGAAGTTCTAGCCAGAGCAATCAGGCAAGAAAAGGAAATAAAGGGTATTCAAATAGGAAAGGAGGAAGCCAAATTAACTCTATTTGCGGATGACATGATTGTACATTTAGAATCAGTCCCAAATCTCCTTAAGCCAATAAGCAACTTCAGCAAAGTCTCAGGATACAAAATCAATGTGCAAAAATCACAAGCATCTCTATACACCAAACACAGACAAAGAGAAAGCCTAATCATGAGCAAATTTCCATTCACAAGTGCCACAGAGAGAATAAAATACCTAGGAATACAACTAACAAAGGATGTGAAGGACCTCTTTAAGGAGAACTACAAACCACTACTCAATGAAATAAGAGAGGACACAAAGAGATGAAAAAACATTCCATGCTCATGGTTCGGAAGAATCAATATCGTGAAAATGGCCATACAGCCCAAAGTAATTTATAGATTCAATGCTATCCCCATCAAGGTACCAGTGACCTTCTTCATAGAATAGGAAAAAACCACCTTAAACTTTGTATAGAACCAAAAAAGAGCCTGCATAGGCCAGACAATCCTAAGCAAAAAGAACAAAGCTGCAGACATCATGCTACCTGACTTCAAACTATACTACAATGCTACAGTAATCAAAACAGCATGGTACTGGTACCAAAACAGAGATATAGACCAATGGAACAGAACAGAGGCCTTGGAAATAACGCCACACATCTACAACCATGTGATCTTTGACAAACCTGACAAAAACAAACGATGAGGAAAGGGTACCCTGTTTAATAAATGGTGTTGGGAAAACTGGCTAGCCATGTGCAGAAAGCTGAAACTGGACCCCTTCCTTTCACTTTACACCAAAATTAACTCCAGATAGATTAACATTTTAAACAAAAGACCTAAACCATGAACACTGGAGAAAAAAACCCAGGCAAAACCATTCAGGACATAGGCACAGGCAAGGACTTCATGACTAAAACACCAAAAGCATTGGCAGCAAAAGCCAAAATAGACAAAATAGACAAATGGGATGTAATTAAACTCCAGAACTTCTGCACAGCAAAAGAAACCATCATTAGAGTGAACCGGCAACCAACAGAATGGGAAAAAAATTTTTCAAGCTACATGTCTGACAAAGGCCTAATATCCAGAATCTACAAAGAACTAAAGCAGATTTACATGGAAAAAAAAAAAAAACCCATCCAAAACTGGGTGAAGGACATAACAGACACTTTTCTAAAGAATTCATTTATGCGGCCAACAAACATATGAAAAAAAATGCTCATCTTGGGAGGCCGAGGCGGGTGGATCATGAGGTCAACAGATCGAGACCATCCTGGTCAACATGGTGAAACCCCGTCTCTACTAAAAATACAAAAAAAAAAAATTAGCTGGGCATGGTGGCATGTGCCTGTAATCCCAGCTACTCAGGAGGCTGTGGCAGGAGAATTGCCTGAACCCAGGAGGTGGAGGTTGCAGTGAGCCGAGATCGCGCCATTGCACTCCAGCCTGGGTAACAAGAGCAAAACTCTGTCTCAAAAAAAAAAAAAGAAAAAAAAAGAAGGAAAAGAAAAAAATGCTCATCATCAGTGGTCAATAGAGAAGTGAAAATCAAAACCACATTGAGATACCATGTCACGCCAGTTAGAATGGCGATCATTAAAAAATCTGGAGACTCATAGGGACATGGATGAATGTGGAGAACATCATCCTCAGCAAACTGACACAAGAACAGAAAATGAAACACTGCATATTCTCACTCATAGGTGGGTGATGAAAAATGAGAACACATGGACACAGAAAGGGGAGTACTAAACACTGGGGTCTATTGGGGGGAAAAAGGGAGGGCCAGTGGGAGGGGGAGGTGGGGAGGGATAGCCTGGGGAGAAATGCCAAATGTGGGTGAAGGGGAAAAGGAAAGCAAAGCACACTGCCATGTGTGTACCTACGCAACTGTCTTGCATGCTCTGCTCATGTACCCCAAAACCTAAAATCCAATAAAAAATTTAAAAAAAAAATCTGGAGACAACACAGATGCTGGAGAGGATGTGGAGAAACAGGAATATTCTTACACTGTTGGTGGGAGTGTAAATTAGTTCAACCATTGTGGAAGACAGTGTGGCAATTCTTCAAGGATCTAGAAATAGAAATACCATTTGACCCAGCAATCCCATTACTGGGTATATATCCAAAGGATTATAAATCATTCTATTTTAAAGACACATGCACAGGTATGTTCATTGCGGCACTGCTTACAATAGCAAAGACCTGGAACCAACCCAGATGCCCATCAATGATAGACTGGACGAAGAAAATGTGGCATTTATACACCATGGAATATTATGCAGCCATAAAAAGATGAGTTCATGTCCTTTGTGGGACATGGGTGAATCTAGAAACCATCATGCTTGGCAAACTGACACAAGAACAGAAAACCAATACCACATATTTTCCCTCATAGGTGGGTGACAATGAGAACACATGAGCACAGAGAGGGGGACATCATACACTGGGGTCTTTTGGGGGTTGGAGAGCTGGGGGGGATAGCAAGGGGTGGAATGGTTGAGGAGGGATAACATTGGAAGAAATGCTTGATGTAGGTGACCGGGGATGGAGGCAGCAAACCACCATGGCATGTGTGTACCTGTGCAACAATCCTGCATCCTGCAAGATCTGCACATGTGCTCCAGAATTTAAAGTATAATTTTTTTTAAAAGGAAAAAAAAAGTAATATAACTGTTGCTGGGATTTTCCAATTACCAGCATAGCACTATGTTTAGTAGGGAAAAGAGGACATAATAAAAGTCCAGAAAATCCCCAAATCCTGTTTCATGGGAGAACCTCCAAAATATTTAGGAAATGTTTTAAATTTCTGGGTCTTTACCTCTACTACCCAGTATTTCTGAATCAAAAATTCGTGGTGGCCATTGGATTTTCATCTGTGGGCAACAATATTTTAAGACAGTAAACTTCTGGATTTACCAACTACAGTAAAAGACACAGATCAGTTCAGGAAAGGGGAAAGTGCATGTAAAGGTGGAGTATTTTTGAGAATTTCTTTTCTACAACAACAAATCTCCAAGATTTTCTTGAAGGCAGAAATCTAAAACTCATTCATGGAAAGCAGAAATGACAAAAAAAAATACTACCAAGAAAGGAAATGAAACCCTTGTGGTATATTAGGAATAACGTATTGAAGTTATCCTCACCGAGGAAGACCAGGTTTCTGTAGTTCTCTAACATCACATCCATATACAAATTCTTCTGAGCAGTGTCCAGACATTGCCACTCCTCCAGAGAGAATTCTATGGCCACATCCTTGAATGTCAACAGTCCCTGAAAAACAAAACAAAATGTACACAAACACATACTTGTCAAGTGGCATGGGCATGATTCTTAATTTGTCACAAGATGAAAAAAGAGAACTGGTTGTGACTCATGTGACTGACCAGAGTCACCTAATAAAATATTTTTCAACATAGAAATATTCTCTTCCTGAGTAAAGAGTATGGAATAAGATCTGTAACACCAATGTATCAGCGTATACATTTCTGGATAATAAAATATAAAATTAAGAGCATGAACACAGACATGTACATTTTGATTGCTACATTTATGCCATACAGAATAAGTTGTACATGTTTTTCAGATGAAAAACTCATGGTGGGGTAGATGGTACTGCTGAAATTTTAATGTGCACAGAGATGGACTGGAGATCTTGTTATGAAGATTTTGTTTCAGGCATTCTGTGATAAAGCCTGAGTTTCTTAATTTCTAACAAGCTCACCAGAGATGCTAATGTTTCTTGCCTAAGAAGAATGTTGTGTTACACATCCAGTGAGTGACAGAGCCTGTGTTTATTCCAGTATTTCTGACCAGGAAACAAAGAGAGCCTTCATTTTCCAAAGAAAGGCATATGCAACAAGAATCTAAGAAGATAGGGGAGCTTCCAAATTAAATGTGATGGTTTAAACATATCAGCCAGTAAATACTCCCAAGATAGTATATTATAAAGGGGAAAATAATTAATTCTATAGCAGAAAAATCTGTCAGAGAGCTCTTTATCCAAGTGAATGAAATTAACATCAACTATAGCAGGACAAATTTTTATTTTATGCTGAGGCAGAGGACCCATCGACACTGCTGTGATACTGGCCTCCCAAAAAAGCAAGTAAGCTATAATCTGAATCTAATCACCAAAAAATAAATTTTATAAAAAGTCCAAGCTACAGATAGCGCCCATGTTCTGTAATCTCTAATAGTGTACTTAATAGTCTTTCCTTAGCATCCAAGAGAGAAAGTATCTCCAAATTATTTTTCTTGGAACCTGAAAGTTCTGAAAACAAATCTGGGCAATAAATGCCATTCCACTTAAATGTGAATTTTCTTAATCCTTTTCTGCATAAAGCTGATGGAGCACACAGATGGAACCTAAAGAGTACATCTTCTCCTTCTTCACTAATCTACAAAGATTCCAGCACTTCTCCAATAGGAATCTTGGATATCCACACCTTCCCACATTCAGAGGCATAAAGGGAATATTTTAAATATTGCGGGTCATGAATTCATGGTGAGAATTCTGCATGGCATGTAAGAAGGCAAGATAAAGACAATATGGAGAAGGCTTTGGTATATGGTATACAGCAAAGAAACATTTTTTTCAGAAGCTCCTGACTATTAGAAGAAAAGAGAAAAAAGTAGTTGAAACAAATTCATTAAGGAGGAATGACCTAATTGGAGGAGTAAAGGTTTGCAAGTTCCAAACACATGGAATTCCAAGAAACAGAGTGGATACAGCTCAATTCGAGACACATTCACCTGAGAACAAGCCATTTCTTCCTCTTGTTCCTCCTCTGGAATTCCTTCACAGGTTTCTTGGGAAAACTCACATCTGCATCTTGAGAATATGACTTTATAAGTGTCAGCACAACCTATTCAACTGCTATAATCACAACCACAGGCAGAAGGACCTAGATGTTCAGAAAAAGTCCACCCCTTCTGTCTTTTGCGACATAAGACATTTGAGAACTATGAGCCACTCCATGAAGATCAAAATGTAAGTTTCTCTTTTCTTGTCCTCAGGTGCCTTCACCTAGCACAGATGCCAGAAATTTCTGCTGCTGCAATGGTACTCTGTGCTGTATTGACTTTTCCCTACCAAACCCAAGAGAGGAGGCCCTGTGACCTCTCTCTGGAGCAAAGGTTGAATTCAACTCTCAGGAATCTATCTTGAACCCCTTGTGCTTGACCCTGGACTCACCTCTGAGTTACACTCAGCACTTAATTAAAACAACATGGATGCTTCAACCCTGATCAACAGACAGAATCTGAGGGAGAGCACAAACGAAGGGATTTCTTCAAATTGGCCATATGATCCTAATTAGAAGCCTGGGCTGAGAACCACTCAGCCAAGCACGGTCTCTCCAGCTTCACCGTGCAGGTAAATCATTTGGTAAACTTAGTACCCCCATATATAATGTGATTCTGCAGGTTTTGAAAGGTCCTGTCAATACTGATGTTGCTCCCCCTGGACCTATTAGCAGCATTCAGCTAGAGAAAGCACGCACAGCACAGAGACCCATACACCCAACACTGTTGTCACAGTATATATGATCCAAATGAAGACAATCAATCTCCATCTTGAAAGATCACATTCTTTGCTGGCATTTTAAGATTCGGAGAGTGGCAAAAGCAGCAAGTAAGTCTGCGTTTGGAAAATAATATGCACACATTCATTGATGAAATGTTTGTTAAGCAGGTACTATGTGCTGAGAAGTACAACATGGAACACTGTCCTGGGAAGCTCACATTATGTGACTTAATCCTCATAACATCCTGGGAGTTGGGGAGTAAGTGTTCAACAATGCCCAGAATTTAGACGAAGGGCCCAGAATTTTTATTTCTTTTTCTGTTTCCTCATCATTGATTTTGAAAAGAAAATATATAGAATGAAAGATAAATATAGACAGGAGGAATATAGAAAGGAAGGGTAAAGTGTAGTTCTGAGAGATTCTTCACTGTTATGTTTGTATTTACTTTCTTGTGACTTGTTGAGCAACTACTGGATCTGCAAAAATAGAACACAGGTTGCAGGATGGAACAAGCCCAGTCTCAACAAGCCCTGGTTTCAACGAAAAAGAAAGAAATTAAGGCTCCAAAACAGAATTTAATTGCTCCCATTTATCTACGTTTGAGTTTCAGGAAATTTTAAGCACAAGCTCTGGAGAGGCAGCAAGAGCCACCACCCAAAACTCTGATCTTCTCTAATCAGTTCTGCGAGGAGAGATTCCATGCCTGGATGAGGCCCCAGAATAGGGTGAATCTGGACAAGACCAGAGCAGTGAGGGGGTCCTACGTAGAATTATGTTCTCAAAGCTCCTGGGGAATCTCCAGTTCTCTTTCCTAAGCCTACCCGAGAGAAACTTAAATACGAGTTTGTGTAGTTTTCATTTATTTTATCTACCTCTTTGTCTATTTTATAACATACAATACCAAACAATTTAACCAAAACCCTTAGGGTTTTCTAGGAATATTTTATTAGAAGCTAAATACGTATTATCAGCAAGGTAAAAACACTAGAAATAGCAACAACAACCACAATCCTTCTGTGCACAAATAGCCCTTCAGGTGGTGAGATCAGAAGTCACAACAGCATGAGGGACATGGCCCCAATGAAGCCCAAGTCTCCTGCACACTTCCTTTCTTGTACTGATCACATGATGCTGAATTCAGCCATTTATGTAGTTGCTCCAGTCTTAAAGTTCCTGGATGGTAGGGAACATGACTGCTTCACTTATTTTTCTAACGGCATATTAAGTAGAGACAATTGGTTTATCAGTTTGAGTCTCCAGACCTTCTCGTTGTTTTTCACCAAAGTACCAAGAAACTGGAGAAAGTCTCCTCCAGGTACCAACCAAGGAGATTGGTTCCATGAGGAAAGAAAGAAATGATGGATGCCTCACTTATCTTACTCTGAGATGGAACCAGAACCTTGTCAGCCTGACCCAAGTCTGCACAGGACATCCTCAAATGTCTCAAAGACTCACAGGCCATTGTGAGAGGGTTCTCAGTGACCCTGGGCTGATAGCCACATGGTAATCCAGGCAAGAGGGACACAAGCTAACTCTAAATAGAAAATTGAAGCGTCCAGTTGGAGCTCCAGAACTTGGATCCAGATGCAATATCACTCATCCTAATTAGCTAGTTCTTAGGGAAGAGGAAGGACAAGAATACTCTATCCTAGTATCACATTTTACAGGTAGGTGTAGTTGGGGTGATGGCTCTAATTATTTTGTGACATTGACCCCTCACTGCTAAGATGTGTTGTAGAAAACAGTCAAGCACCCAATACAGGAGCACCCATAGACATAACGCAAGTTCTTAATGACTTACAAAGAGACTTAGACTCCCATACACTAATAGTGGGAGACTTTAACACTCCACTGTCAATATTAGACAGATCAACCAGACAGAAAACTAACAAGGATATCCAGGACTTGAACTCAAACCTGGACCAAGCAAACCTGATAGACATTTACAGAACTCTCCACCCCAAACCCACAGAATATACATTCTTCTCAGCATCACATCACACCTACTCTAAAATTGACCACATAATTGGAAGTAAATCACTCCTCAGCAAATGCAAAAGAATGGAAATCATAACAAACAGTCTCTCAGACCACAGTGCAATCAAGTTAGAACTCAGAATTCAGAAACTAACTCAGAACCGCACAGCTTCGTGGAAATCGAACAACTGGCTCTTGAATGTTGACTGGATAAACAATGAAATGAAGGCAGAAATAAAGATATTTTTCAAAACCAACGAGAACAAAGACACAACATACCAGAATTTCTGGGACACACATTTAAAGCACTGTCTAGAGGAAAATATATAGCAATAAATGCCCACATGGGAAGCAAGGAAAGATCTAAAATGGACACTCTATCATCAAAATTGAAAGAGCTAGAGGAGCAAGATCAAAAAAACTCAAAACCTAGCAGAAGACAAGAAATAACTAAGATCAGAGCAGAATCGAAGGAGATAGAGACACAAAAAACCCTTGGAAAAATCATAAATCCTAGAGCTGGTTTTTTGAAAAGATCAACAAAACAGACAGACTGCTAGCCAGATTAATAAAAATGAAAAGAGGGAATAATCAAATAAGATGCAATAAAAAACGATAAAGGGGGTATCACCACGGATTCCACAGAAATACAAACTACCATCAGAGATTACTACAAACAACTCTATGCACATAAACCAGGAAACCTGGAAGAAATGGATAAATTCCTGGACAGTTGCATCCTCCCAAGCCTAAACCAGGAAGAAGTCG